TCTACATTGGATGATGGAAAAAACAAAGGAATACCAAAAGACCTCTACATGTGCTTCACTGACTACACAAAAGCCTTGACTGTGTTGACCAAACTGCCACAAAGAACTAGGAATATCACCACACCACATCCAACTCATTCAGTCACTGTATTCTGATCAGGCAGCCACTGTAAGAATGGAGACACAAAATGGTTCAGAATTGAAAAAGGCACTCGGCAAGGTTAAATCCTGTCACCTACTGTATTCTATTCAACATGTACACAGAAATAGATATGAGAAATTCACATTTGGATGAATCTACCACTGGGGTTAAAATCGGTAGTAGGAATATCAACAACCTCTGATATGCAGATGATACAACATTGTTCATTGAAAGCAAGGAGGATCTGGAGTGGCTAATCCTGAGAGTTAAAGATGAAAGTGAAAAATTTGGACTGCACCTTAACATCAAGAAAACAAAGATAATAACAACTGCAGAGAACACACAGGTCAGAGAGCAGATCGACAATGAGACCATCAAACCAGTAAAGGAATTCGTCTTCCTGGGCCAATTGACCAAAGGGGTGACTGCAGCCCTGAGATCAGAAGGCATATAACACTTGGAAGAACTGCAATGTCTGGCATAAATAACATCTAGAAGAGTAAAGACATCAGCCTCACAACCAAATGCAGATTAGTTAATGCAATAATTTTTCCAATTGCTAGTTATGGCTGCAAAACCTGGACTCTGAAAAAGGCAGGATAGGAGAAGGGTGGATGGCTTTGAACTTTGTTGCTGGAGGCACCTATTATGCATCCCATGGACTGAAAAACTAACAAAGAAGTCCTAGACCAAACCTCACCAAAAATATCACTTGAAGCCAAGATCAAGGCTGTCATACTGCGGTCATGTCATACAAGCTGACTCACTCGAAAAGTCATGCTGGGAGTGAACAATGGAAAAAGGAGAAGTGGCTGCCCTAGTACCCGCTGGTTGGACACTATAAAGGAGGCAATGCGAAACAGAGGGACATGGAGAGTGCTGATCCACAGAGTGGCCAAGGGTCAGCCACGACTGAATGGCTGACAACGATGAGCACTCATCAAGCATTATTTGTCAAAAACATGGTAGATTACCTGTTTTTTGGACCAAAAGTATAACCCCTCCTGGTCCTATTTGATCATTTAGCTACATTCAATATCATCCATCACAAAATACCTAAAACTGCCTACAAGGGTTGGTGACTAGAGGCATATCTGACTATAATTCAAAGCATTGTTTCCATCCTTAAAAGCCCTATCAAGCTTGCCTCTTAGATATCTGGAGAACCACTTTCTATTGTTAGAACCATCCTGTCTGATGCACTCATTTCAGTTGGGGATGTTACTGTATCTATCTCCAGTGTGTAAGAAACATGATTGATGAGATTCAGGGGCAGCATATTTTTGTTAAGATTTCCAGCTTATGGAATAGTTTCTGCAAGGTCAGGCTAGTGCTGACTTTGACAATGTTTCATAAAGCAGTTAGAATTGAACAATTCATAGGGTGTTGAAAGCTAATCCAACTTAATATTTGTTTTTGCTTAACAAATTGCTGTATTCTTATTAATTTCATTTTAATTATGTAATGATTTGTATTGTCAGTATATGTTCACAGTTGTAAATTGCCACAAATTTTAAGATTTGGCAACATATAAATCTAATTAATAAATATTCAGCAATAATGGTAAAAACTGATCTTCCATTGATGTTTTCTTTTAAAAAACATTTCAGAAGTGATGCTTTTTATTTGATTATAATATATTCATAAATCACCGGCTTTAAGGCATAAGGTCTGTCTACGTCTGTAATACCTATGCTGGTCCCCTTTTCTAGACCAAGCCATATATACTGGAGCTCATTTTGCCACTTTCCTATGGCCAGAAGACCCTTGTTCTGCAGATTAAAGGAAAAGATTTCCAACAAAACATTATGCTAGTACAGGGATGCTACAAAGTAGGAAAGTCACACCATACTCAATTCCAATATCCACATGAATTTTTAAAGCAAATATCTTATGGTTCAGTGTTTGGGGAACTGTATATTTTAAGAATAGGTATTTTTATGTATAGTTCAAAAAAGGTTGTTGCCTGTGAATGTTCAAGTCAAATAAAAGAGTGAGCAACCATTTATGAACGGAAAGCACTGTAGGGGAAGGACAGGAAAGGGCTAGCTCATTTTAGATCCTGCACCCTTCCCCAGCTTAATAAGTATTAATGTTTAGTGTTAATAAGTGTTAATGTTTAATCATGTTTAGCTTCTGCTGCTCCTTTTGCTGACAGGAACTCATTGATATGATTACATTTGATAGTGTGATAATGTTAGGAAATAGTGATTAATCAGAAGCTCCCTAGCAAATGGAGGGTGGCTTTTTTGGTTCCTCTACCTTTCCTTTCACTTTATACATAGAAGGAAAATAGGGAACTGTTATGTCTCCTCTTGGAGATTCAAACGAACAAACACAAAGCAGCCGTTTCACAATCAAATCAAACTGAAGGAAAATAACAAGATAACGACTGGCAGAAACGGTTAGAACTCCCCTTCAAAATTCAAACAAACAGAGATCTCTTTGCAGTAACGTCCTCATTCAAAATAGTCATTTTGTTTCTGGCAAAAGGCACCAGCTCAGCTGTGTCCTTTTATACCCATTAAGGCAACGTGCTAATTAACTGGCTTGCCCTTCAGATTAACGTTTCCTGGTTCTGACGTCAATCCACGATCTAACAGTCATCAGATTCAAAACTCTTAACAGGACCGATCCTTCCAATCACAACAGGGAACACTATAAAATAAAAACCTCATTACCAAAAGATTCAAGGAACCTTCAGTTACTTGCCCCAGCTCCTGCCACCTAACAGTTCGAAAGCATGCAAACAGGAGTAGATAAATAGTCACCACTCCAGTGGGAAGGTAACAGTGTTCCATGTGCCTCAGGTTATAGTCAATGCTGGTTCCCTCAGCTAAGAAATGGAGATGACTACCGTTCCCTAGAGTAGGAAGGGGAAACCTTTACTGTTACCTTTATTAATGAGACTATCCATTAAATATTACTGAGAATATGGTTAAAACTCATTCTTCTTAAGTTCACTCGTAATAATGTTAATTTCATACAAGTTTTATTGTTTTATATTGTCTACTACCTGGCCTTTGAGGGATTCAGAAGACATGTTCATTCTTCTCTACAAACACCTTGATAGCAGCAAGCCATTAAAGCTTATATTGCTCTGAATTACTATCCATGTTTGGTGATACCTACAACATTATTCAAGCTCATCATCAATATTCAATATTCAATGGTGGTGCAGTGGTTAGAATGCAGTATTGCAGGCTAATTCTGCCCACAGCCAGGTGCTCGATCCTGACTGACTCAGCCTTCCATCCTTCAGAGGTCAGTAAAATGAGGACTCAGATTGCTGGGGGCAATATGTTGACATTTGTAAACCATTCAGAGTGCTGTAAACCACTATGGAGCAGTATATAAGTCTCAGTGCTATTGCTATATTCACTGGATTCATACCTAGAAAATAGAGTAGCACCTAAAAATGTGGGTTGGACATAACTCATCCTCAGGATGATTAATTATATGGGCAGTATAAAATACATTAAGTTCTTTTAAAAGTTTTTTTTAAAATATGCACATTCTCTACGGAAAAAGTGACCAGCATGTAATAATTATAACATTCTGGATCCAAAAGAAAATTAATCCCAACAAAATTCACAAATTATAAGATAACTCATAAATGTGCCAACTGCTTGCACTTTCCACAATGCATAAATAATAACACCATCAGGCTTTGAGTTTCATTTAGCACTATGTATAAACTGGAAAGCTGCGCTTCGTTTCTTCTAACAAGTAATTTCCCAGATCACAGGTGCTAAAAGAATCATGGAGAGAACCATCCACCATCCCTTTACTAGAGAACCTACAAAGAGCAATTAAGCAACATATACTACCACACAGCATATTCCCACAGAGACTAAAATTCTTCACAATTCTGACTTACTCCTGGCAAAATGACAAACTATGAAGAAGATGACTGCAGGTATTTAGAACAAAAATCACCTCATCACATGTAGATTGGTTTATTTTTTTAAGTCAAAAAAGGAAAGTCAAAATGGTGTAAACAGCAATAACGTACATTAGACTTTTGATTCTAATACCATGAGAATACGTTCCCATATTTCTGAAAGATATTTCCCAATTTCTGAGTGTTAATCTAGTATGTGAATTGTTTTTTATTTGGAAACAGTAAATGCTGAAAAGGGACTAAAATGTGATGTAGTTCCAGTCTGGTGAATGAAGCAACATTGCTGAATACTCCTATTATGTGTCTTGATGCACAGTATGAAGAAACTGTAACGGAAGGAATAAAAAACTGGGGGGGGGACTGGGAAATTTGCATACTACAAAAATATGAATGGGTAGAGAAGTGGGAATATTCAGTGATATTCAGAAAGGCAAATCAACCAAGTGAAATAGATTTGCTATGAGAATGACCTGGCTACTCTGTTTAGGAGAAAAAAGATAAGGAAGTGACAGATGCCCATATCAAATCACCTTCTGGAACTAAAATTACTACAAAACAAAATAAAATAATCTTCACTTTTACATTAGAAATATACAATTTGTATTTTAAACTTGCAAAACTTGCAGTATTGAATGCCTTTTTATTAAAGAAAAGCAATACTATTTATTCTGGAAGGGCTCTAATGTAATGGCTGGAATTCTTATTATTTTAAACCCAGTCAGTGTGTGTTTTTTTCAACTCCCCACTGGAACATTTTACAATTAAAATTAATTCAGGTCTGAAAAATTCATTGACCTTTACGCTTTTAACAATTTTCTAGCTCACAGATCACTGTCAATATTTGCAAATCTTTAAAATTATATTTCATTGGCACCACCTTTCTTTCCCATATTAATATTTCTTTACACATGTATGCTTATCCATATCAGAGAAGAATGAACAGCTACTACTCACAGCAAATCTCTGGGGTCCTACAGCAGGTCTTGGCTGGGTTGGGACTGGCAGCAAAGGCACTAAAAACAAGGAGCACATCTTTTAAATCAATTTGTTTTAGCCAAAATTCCAGGCCATTTTCATATGCAACCACATTCACAGGCAGCTGCTGTCCCATTCTCCTCAACAGCTGTAAGCAGACAAAATGTGTTAACACCATGCAATAGGGCAATTAAGATGCTGATGGCATAGGCTACAAAATTAGACAAGGCATAGGCAATTTGCAATATTTGTCTTCTTTCACACATTACTGAATGAGGGACAAAATCTTGACAGAATGGCATCAGAGACATGGCATGATTTCCTCAAATTCCAGATGCCACACCAATTCCATTGGTTAATTCACATTAATTCAATTATGCATGATAGTACCATATATATTTAGTAGGAAGTAAGACTAGTTAAGCTCAGTTGCATAAATTCCTGAGTAAACATGTTCTATATTAGAATACCATTCACACTGTGTTGTACCTCTCCTAAGATAAGGCAATCAAATGATTTAAATTTTTGCAAATGGAGCAAATGGAGCAAGGAAGCATACAAAATAAAGAAAAACATGTGTGAAGGAGTCTGCACTGAATTAGTTGTTCTAGAAGTAAGCTGTCTCTCTCTCTCTCTCTCTCTCTCTCTCTCTCTCTCTATATATATATATATATATATATATACACACACACACACACATATATATATTCTTAAGTTTTCGCGGGTACTTACACGTATGGTATTCAGCTTTGTTCGGGTATTTTCCCACGTCATTGTAGTTGTGCTTTTAAAGTTGTACCAATGTTTCGGCAGATGAAACCTAGCTTCCTAATAAATGATAGCTGTCCATTTACTCGGAGCCAAGCTGCACTAAAAGACTCCAATACAGGAACACAATTTTGCCAGCCAATCAAGACAAAAAAAGCCACAAAACAGATAGAAGATATTAGAAACACCATCAAGCAGAACACAGCAAATTCCAAGACCAATAAACACAGACCAAGACTCCCAACCAATCAGGATGAAGAAAAAACCATTCTGGCACAGCAGTAGGCTAGCCCCAAATTTAAAACTGAAATGACTGTGAAAGTCTGACTCACAGATGAACACAATATAAAAGCCTGATGGTGGCAGATGAGATTCTGCCAAAATGTTGCTACAACTTTAAAAGCACAACTATAATGACGTGGGAAAATACCCGAACAAAGCTGAATACCATACATACATACATACATACATACATACATAACATTAAAACATAAATAAATTAAAACCAAACATTAAAATCTAATGACATGTGGGGATAGCAGGGGCAGAATGGGGGAGGTGGGATCTGTTGTTACTCGATCAACCACCCCCACTGCGTTGTTCCCCTGTTGGGGACCCCAAGACAACTGGCAGAGCCAGGACAAAAGGATAGGAGAGTTTGGGCCAGCCTCACATTGGGGGGCAAGATGATCCAGAGACAACAGCAGAGAAGGCCTTCCTCCTGGACCCTGCCAGCTGGAATAATCAGGCTGACAGTACCCACAACATGCCTCCTCTGCCAGCATGAGTGGGATGGGCCAATCCAAGTGGGATGAAACAGTCCCTCAAGTAGCCTGCACCCATGCTATGAAGGGTTTTAAAGGTGACCACCAACACCTTGAATTGCACCTGGAAGCAGACTGACAGCCAATGCAGCTCGAGGAGCAGTGATGTTACAGGCACCATTCTTGAGGGGCTCAAAATTGCCCATACCACCACACTCTGCATCAGTTGCAGCTTCCAGATGCTCTTCAAGGGTAGCCCCATGTAGAGTGCATTACAATAGTCCAAACATGAGATGACCAGGGACTGAAGGACTGGGCACAAGGAATTCTGATCCAGGAAAGACCGCAACTGGTGCACAACATGAAGTTGTACAAAGGCTCTCCTAGCTGTGACTGCCACCTGCTCCTCAAGCAAGAGCTGCAAGTCCAGGAGAACCCCCAAGTTGCGGACCGGATCTGTCTGGGGCACTGCCAACCCATCCAGAATCAAAGATGACAAAATCCTGGATCCCGGAGCCCCGTGTACCCAAAGCCATTTGGTTTTGCCAGGGTTCAGTTGAAGTCTGTTGCTCCCCATCCAGGCCTGCACAGCCTCCAGGCACTATGAGAGGGCAGCCACACCATCACTTGGGTCAGCAAGAGTGTAAATATATACAAACTGCTTTTATTGCTGCTCATCTAAATTACAAAAGCACACTGACCCTATGTAAATTTCTGCATCAGAATTACTCTGGCATGATAAAGTAAACTTGTGCTAAAGTTTTATTTGATTATAATTTAAAAACGCACTGAACAAAACCCTGAACTCACTAAACGAAACTATAAGTACTGGGTTTTTTTCTGTTTCAAGAACATATCCTCACTTAAACCTTCACTGATTATGCTAAGCTGTGACATAGTTTTATTGCAGCATGTTACTGTGATCTCTTTCCAAGGAAAAATAATCATGTGGCTTATTTTTTTAAACAACCAGCTACAGAAAAATGGTAGGAAAACAAATCATTACAAGCTGTCTTATTCAATACAGCACAGAAAAATAACTCCTGGCTTTCTCTTTCATTCGTATATCTGAAATACATATTTCATATCCACAAAGATAGCCCCTTCCTATCTCTTCCTATCCTATCAGTCTGTTCTGCACCTCCTTTATTTTATTTATTATTTATTACATTTCTATGCCACCCATCTCACTGACACAGCAACTCTGGGCAGCTTATAAATGAGTTACAAACCACCTCACTCCAGAGGCTCCCGGACATGCACAGGTAGTCCTCAACTTACAACAGTTCATTTAGTGACCGTTCAAAGTTACAACAGCACTGAGAAAAGTGACTTATGACTGTTTTTCACACTTACGACCATTGCAGCATCCCTGTGGTCACGTCATCAAAATTCAGATACTTGGCAACTGGTTCATACTTATGACCATTGCTGTGTCCCAGGATCATGTGATCCCCTTTTGCGACCTTCAGATAAGCAAAGTAAATGGGGAAGCCGGATTCACTTAGTAACAGTGTTCCTAACTTAACAACTGCAGTGATTCACTTCACAAGAAAGGTCGTAAAATGGAGTAAAATTCACGTAACAAATGTCTTGCTTAGCAACAGAAATTTTGGGCTCAATTATGGTTGTAAGTCAAGGGCTACCTGTACAAACCAGTATGAAGCACAATATAACAAATATATAAAAACCAACAAAACTGTGAGCAATAGCAAACAATAAAAGTTCTGCAGCACTCTACATCCCAACCTCTAATCTTTTGCCCAGTACTATCCACAAAGATACTGGGGATTTTTTTTTAACAGTTCTTCCACTAGAAGTCCTTCCCATCATCTATTTCCAGAGGATGAATCTGAGGAACTCTGTATAAAAATCTGCTGTACTATGAAAATAAAGATAATATCAAAGCCATCTACTACCAAGAAAGACATTTGATCTACACTGATTAGCATAGTTGATGATGATCAACAACAGCTTTCTTGGCTTCTATCTCTTTCTCAGTGGTACCTTCAAAGAGATTCTAAAAAAAACAAGTACATTTACATCCAAATATGTGCTTTATTTCTAAGCAATAGGCTTTTCCCATTGCATTTTATATTAATGCCCATACAAGGATAAAAAACCTTTCACTTTCTTTGAAAAAATCCTTACCTTGAACAGGTGTTACTACAGTTCCTTTGAAGTGTGGATTTATGTGTATGTTTTTTGGCTGCTGGGATGCCACTGAAGGAGGAGTCATCAGTATTCTTGGGGTTTCTACTTGGGATGGCATATGAATTCCTTGAGAGGGAGTGGGTGGTATATGATGCTGAGTGGGGACAGGGAGTAGACCTTGTGGCTGTTGTTGCTGCTGCTGTGGTTGTTGCTGCTGCTGCCGCTGCTGGAAAAGATTCCTAATGGGTTGCTGATGACGAAATAGCCTTTCTGAATGTGTCTAAAATTAAAAACAGAAAAGAATATATCCATTACTTGGAAAATTAAAAAAAATGTCCCCACAAGGAATACAGGAGTTTTATATGGGATTAAGCAGATTCATGGCTGCCAATAGTACCTACAAATTCATAGGGTGTCTCCAGGTTTTCTTGGGGAATAGAGAAATGAAAGTGGAGACATCCTAACCTTGTTGAACACCCATGAAGACTGAATGCGCAGAACTGTTTCTTGGGTACAATTTAGGATTAGTTTGTTACGCACATGAGTACAGATAGTCCTAAATTTACGACCACAATTCCCCCTTTTACTTTCATTGTTGGAAGCCAGCTGGGAAAGTCGCAAATGGCAATCATGTGACCCCAGGACCCTGCAACTGTCATAAATACACGCCAGTTGCCAAGCACCGGCATTTTGATCACATGACCATGGGGATGCTTCGATAGTCGTTAAGTTTAAGGAGCAGTCATAAGTCACTTTTTTCAGTGCCACTGTAACTGTGAACAGTCCCTAAAGGAATGGTTGTAAGTCAAGGACTACTTGGATTACAATTCGTAATTCTAAACCTACATTTATCAACAAGATTTCTGTTTTCATGATGGAGAACTTCAAGAAGTATCAAGAGTAGAACCATCACAAATCCTAAAACAGATCTTCAGATGATAAATCCCAGTTCTCCCAAGTTTAAGAGTTTTCAGAATAAGGCTCTGAATCAAGCATTCACGTTTAAGCAGCTAAACCCAAGCAGGCCTTCTACTACTTTAATTCCACAATCCAATCCATCACTACTGCAATTCAGGGTACCATAACAGCTGTCTGCGTTGGTAGTAAAGCAGGCCTGTGATCCTCAATTCTTCCCCTTTCATTGCTGTCTCTTCTTTGTTCTCCCAGCCCATGACACATTAATGACCCTCCTCGTCTTCCTCCTCTTCGGGAGCCATACCGCCCTTGTTTTAGCTGTCTTTCCCGCTCTTCAAATTCAAGTAATGCTGCTTTGGCTTCTGCAGAAAGTTCTATTAGATGAAACAAAAGATAATTTAGTATTTGCCAGAAGGATTAAGTGTTATGAACTAATAACAGTTTCACTACAGTAGCAACACTGGCATATGTGTAAAAAAGTGTTTGGGATAAACACATGTCCATCATTTGAAAAAAAAATTAAATTAAAATAAAAAAATTAAAATAATTAACTTATTGTCTATTTTGTATTTCTAATACAAAGACCTGCAGATATAAATAGAATGACTGCAGCAAAAGAAAGCAAAGGTAGTACCAGAAGTCACAGGTGCCTTGGGTACAATCCCCAAACCACTGGAGCACCACTTGAACACCATCGCATAGACAAATTCACCATCGATCATGAAATGCAGCTTTACTTGGAACAGCTTAAAACCTGCAAAGGTACCTCTAACACAGGGGTGTCAAACTCAATTTCATTGAGGGCCGTATCAGGGTTGTGTTTGACCTCGGGGGGGTGGGAGTGGCCGGGTCTGTGTGTGGCCAGCTCAACATCACTTGTGTCGGGGGGCACCTGTGGTGGCCCAGGTGGGGCTGTGGGATCCACTGTCTCCAGTGGAGGAAGGAAAGACCAGGGAGACTGCCAAACCCTTGTCCTCCAGAGGAGCCTTGCTGTCTGCTGGTGGCCAAATGATAAGGCAGGACCTTCCTTCCTTCCTTCCTTCCTTCCTTCCTTCCTTCCTTCTTCCTTTCCTTTTTCCTTCCGTCTTCATTCTTCTTCCTTCCCCTTTCCTTCTTTTTCCTTCCTTGCTCTCTTCTCATTTTTTTTAATCTTTCCTCTTTCCCTTTCTCATTTCTTGTCCTTTCTTGGATACTCAAATTGAAAAGGGGAAACATTTCTCCTTTTGCTTTGCTTTTAGCTTGTTTTGCTAGTCCTCTGATAGAGAAAACAGAGCCCAGGGGGAGGGGGCGCATGCAGTCCAGTGGGCCCCATTTTTGGCCTGGACGGCCCCCTGAAACCCTCTGCCAGCGAAAATGGAGCCCGGGGGGCTGCGTGCACACCCACACACAGTTCCATTTATGCTGGCAGAGGTCTGTAGGAAGCTGTTCAGGCCAAAAACAGGGCCTGGGAGGGTCACGGACGGCCCTCCCAAACTCCATTTTCACTTGTAGAGGCACCGTGGGCTGGTCCTTCGCTGTTTACATGGCTGCCCTGCAGGCCACAATTAAGCACCCCATGGGCCGGCCTTGAGTTTGACACCCCTGCTCTAGCACCACAAAACATTAACATCTGCCTATCCCAGGTCCTTGGGAAGGACTTGATCTGGCTAACTATGTGACAAACCATAATTAAAAAGAAAACAAAAAAGCAAAAAAAAAAAACCCTCAAAGAGCAAACTTGATGGACCACTGTCTTTTTCCTGCCATCAGCTTTCTAAGTTTCTACACTCAATTAGCATGACACATACATTAAGACAATATATTAACATTTAAAGAATTAATTTGATTGTATCCTTTTAATGTGCAAAAGAAAATGCATATTTACAGTCTGGCGATAATAAAATACTTTATTCTCTCAAGAATACTTTTATTACTAATTTTTAAAGTAAGATTAAATAGTTTTATTTTAACCTTTCTTTCTCCTATAATAACTTGCAAAAATTCAGTAATTAATCCATGGATATAAGAAATATACAGGTAGTCCTCAACTTATGACCATAATTGAACCTGGAATTATAGTTGGAAATCATAGCAGTCATAAGTTGAAGCATCTTGTGACCAGGCCAATTTTTTCAGAATTTTTGGTGGCAATCATTAAGCAAACAGAACAGTCATTAAGTGAATCCATTTTACCCAAAGGGTATTTTTTGCTGGAAACCAGAAGTAAACATCAGAAACTGGCAAAAACATCAAAAATCATGGTCATGTCCTGCCCAAAAGATACAAGCTTGACACCGAGGAAAAGGCTGAAGATTTTTACAAACAACACTGCGATATTGAAGAAGATTCAGGAGATCGAGGAGAAGAGAAAGATATAATAGAAGGTAGAGACTCAGGACAAGCAATAGAAGAAAAAGTAAGACCACAAGAAACAGAAAGACCTAAGAGAAGAGGAGATGGAGATAAGATAGAATACTATGGAAGGAAATATGAAGAGCCTAAGGAATCTAGAATCACGAGAAGTATGAGAACAAGATACAATTAAGAAAACAGATGAAGAATGTGGGATTTGGTCAATAAATATTAACGGACTCAACTCACCAATAAAACGCCAGAAAATATTTGCTAAACTACAAAAATTGAAAACTGACATAATTGCTTTGTAAGAAGTCCATACAAGACACGATCAAAAACATCTACTAGAACAACCTAAGTTAGGAAACCTGTTTGTATCACTAGATTAGAAAAAAAAAGAGGTGTGGCTCTCTATGTGAAAAATAAGATTAAGGCAAAACAGATTTACAAAGATAAAGAAGGGAGAATCCTAATAGTTGAGATTAAACTAAATAACAAAAATATAATAATTGCCTCAATATAGACACTAAATGGAGCCCAAGAATCCTTCTAAAAAAATCTTCATAACATAATCAGTGATATAGAGTACGATGGGCTATGTATAGTAGGGGACTTCAATGCGATTGAAGATAGGAAAAGAGATCACAAACATAATGATACAAGAAAAGGAAAAAAAAGAATACTCCCCAAAACATTTTTTGAAATGATCAGAGATCTAAATTTGATAGACCTTTGGAGAGAAAGGAATAATGAAGAGAATTATTACACATTTTACTCAAATCGCCATAAAGCCTGATCTAGGATTGATATGGTTTGGATATCCAAAGATTTAGATTCTGAAATACGAAAAGTGACTATAAACACCTGGGCTGATCACAACCCCATTAAGCCTACAGTGGAAAGGACATGAGGTCACACCAAGATGGGCTTTCCAAAGGGCAATTCTCAAAGAAAAGGAGTTCAATATAATGATGGAAAAAGAATTGGATATCTTTTTTAAAATAAATAAACAAGATGATATCTCAATTCAGACTCTCTGGGACACCGTTAAAGCGTATATACAAGGTGTAACAAAAAACGTAAATTAGCCCTTTCTAATGCAACAGTTAAAACACATGGATATTGGTGAAAAGTTTTTAAAGATAATAATGGCAATATATACACAACAAGAAGCAATAATAATAATAAATGGAGAATTGACAAGTAACATTTACATACAAAAAGGTACAAGACAAGACTGCCCTTTGACCCCATTACTATTCATATATACATTAGAAGTCCTAACGAGAATGATTAGGCAAGAAACACAGATTAAAGGATTGGAAATTAAAAGAGAAAATTTTAAATTACAAGCATATGCCGATGATTTAGAATTTTTCTTGGAAGACCCTGAACAAACAGGTCCAATATTATTAGAAAAACTTGAAGAATATGGAGAAGTAGCTGGTTTGAAAATAAAGAAAAAACAAAAATCATAACTATATAACCAGCAAACAAAGAGAAAACCTGGTTAAGCTATTAGATATTCAAATAGTACAAAAATAAAATACCTAGGAATTAATATTTTGGCATGCTGTTCAACAGTTATGGAGTATAATTATGATAACTTATTGAGACAAATTAAAACAGATTTAGAAAATTGGAATAATCTTCAACTAACTTTAATAGGCAGAATTTTGGCAATTAAAATGAACATACTACCCCAAATTTTGTTTTTATTCCAAAATATACCGATTAAATTAGGGAATTTTTTTAAAAGATCTGAATAAAATAACGTTAAATTTTGTGTGGCAGGGTAAAAGACCAAGAATTAAATTAAAACATCTACAAGACGCTAAAGAAAGAGGGGGATTAGGCTTTCCAGATTGGGAACTATATTATCAAGCGGCCGCCTTAACATGGATTAAGGATTGGATAAACTTGGAAAATAAAAGACACTTACTTTTAGAAGGGCACGATTTACAACAGGGCTGGCATGCATATCTGTGGCCCAGTAGACATATGACACACCAATATTTTTTGAGACAAAAAATTCGACAAGCCCTAATCTCAATTTGGAATAAAATAAGATCGCAAAATTATATGGAAACTCCAAGCTGGCTTTCCCCCTTAGAAGCCACATCATATACGAATCTTTACAACCAGAAAAAGGCAATCACATATAAAGATAACCTAACAGAAGAAGGAAGATTAAAACAAAGATTGGAACTTAACCAGCAGGGCTTAACGTTGGAATGGTGGGCATATCTCTAAGTACAATCCAGATATGAAAGGGATAAAAAAGAATGGGGAATAAATTGTCAAGATACAATATTAGATAAAATATTATTAGGATCAGAGAAGAAACAAATAAAGCAATTGTATAACTATTTACTAGATTATAAAATGTATGAGGAGCAGGTGAAAGAACCACTGTTAACTTGGGCCAGAAATTTTGGTTATAACATAAATTTGGATCAATGGCAGCAAATTTGGGATCGGAATAAAAAGATTACATTAGCCACATCCTACAAAGAAAACCTGTTTAAGATGTTTTACAGATGGCATCTCCCACCTACCAGGTTAGCCAAAATGTATAGCTCTCAATCACCTATATGCTGGAAATGCTTGAAAGAATGGGGCACCTATTATCATATGTGGTTGGAGTGCAAGAAGATACAAGAATTTTGGCACAAAATAGGGCAATGGTTAAAAGAAATGTTGGACCTAAAAATAAATAATACACCAGAAATGTTTTTATTGGGAATAATAAATGAGAATGTCAAAAAAGCCGATACATATCTAATCATTCATGTTATTACAGCTGCAAGATTACTAATAGCCCAAACATGGAAGTTAAAAGAAATACCAAATGATGAAGCAATTAATAGAAAAAAATTTCCAGTGCTCTGAGTTAGATAGTATGACGCTAGAACTGAAGGAACAATATACTTTAGAATTCTATGCAATATGGGAAAAATTTTATAAATGGGGGGATATGAAAGGAAGTCTAAAAATGTGAAATAGAATTTAAGAGATCATATTGCAACATAATGTTTAA